GCTGCTTTCAGAATGACCCATTTAAGAAGGAAAGTAATCCCCTCCCCCAGTAATAATCCTAAAGATTTTTGGCAAAGATATTTTAACAAGAAAATTTGACGGAAACAAAAGTAGGTTTTGTTCAAAAGTCAGTGAAGGAGCAGAGGAAATAGACATACTGTGAAGTCGGCAGGAAGTGAAAGAAAAGCAAATTCTGTATAGCCAGGAAAAGGGAAAAAAAAAAAAGAGTAAAAATCATTCAGCTCCTGAGGAGAAGCTGTGAATGCCTCATTGTTTGATAATTCTAAAGTCCTCTTAGACCACTACCCAAAACCCATTTTAAAAGCAACCCTGTGTTTGTCTAACAGCAGTATAAACAATTTATTTGTTCCCATCTCCACTTTTGATGACTCTGCAGAGATTTCTGGAGAATGAAACATCAGCTCAGCTTCTCCTAATAACATTTACATAAAGTCAAAACTGGTGATCTAATCCTAATAGGCCAAGTGGGTGTGCACTCACTGCTGGGTTCTTCTAAAGCAGAGAGGTGCCTCCAGCTGGCTGTCTAGGGACCCATCTAGTCTCTGGAGTGGAGAGCTGCTTATCCTGAATAACGAGCTGTGCATGAAGAGGGGCTCTATGGAACCCACTTTGAAAAATATGCAGCCTGAGTGACCTCCTCTGTGGCTATGGCCTAGATAACAGCTCCACCAGGAGAAATGCAGCTCATCCTGGAAATGAAGATCTTGTGCGTACAACCTAAAGCACGCTTCACGGCACTCAACACAGACAACATGCGTGCTACATACGTAAGGTGTTTTGTCATAACGATCTCCTCTGTGACCCTCAGTTTCATCCTCTGTGTGAGAGAGAGATGAGGATGCAGCCTTTACTTTGCCAACTCTTCTCAAATGAGATCAGATACCTGACAGGGGAGTGGTAAAAGCATTACACGACGTAAAAGACAGGAGAAGGAGAAGCAAATGGCTTGGTGGAATAGAACTCTGGGGTGAGACAGGCAAAGATTCAAACTGCAGCTCTCTCTTACCACTAAATGTGGCCTGGGCCAAGCCACTCGCCCACTCCTGCCTCAGTTTCCTCACTTGTAACATGAAGGTAATGAATGAGATAGTATAAAGTGCTTAGGGCAGTGCTCAGCATAGAGTCAGATTAAGAGATGGTAGCAGCTATTATTATCATTGCATTGGTTATCGCCATCATTGTCTTTATTATTATTATTATCATCAATGTTGGCCTCACAAGATCCCCCTTCCTTCCATTTAAGGAAATCCACTGTCTCAAACCACCACTTATTTCTTTATTTTATCCTTAGGATCAATCCTTCAAGATAAGAGAATTTTATCGTGGAAGCACAGCGAGTGGCATCTCCCCCACTGCACCTGAAAGGCTTCTGGAGTTCACGCACTGCCACGTGGCTCCTCCAGTTGCTATCAAGTTGATTTACTTCTGCACGGAGCATTTTAAGGCCTAAGAACAGCAATGATGAAATCCAGACAGAAAAGGCAGACTCACAGGTATTGGGAAATTGGAAATGAAGCCAGATTGTGGCCGGGGTGGGGAGGGAATCTTGGCCAGTTCCTTACAAGTCCATCCCAAAACGAATCTTCAAAGTGAAAATAATAATAAAACTCATGTAGTGTTTGGTAGATAAAACTGTGGGGTCAGATTCCTCCTGCTGTGTATATATAGGAGCTGTGCTCGATGAAGACCAGCTGGCTTTGATTTCTACTGAGAAGGAAACACATTGAAGTAAACTTAAATGAGACCCTCAGTCACAAAGACAGCACATGAGTAGATAGGGGTCAGTGGAATTGGCACTGAAAGTCCCTTTTCTGTCAGGTCCCCCATGCTGAGAACTACACAGAAAGTCACAAACTGCTGCTTATAAGACAGGAGTTCTAGAAGCTCCGAAGACTCCAAGGACATGCAAAAGAACCCAAACACCACGCTGCCTCCCTGAATGAGTTAAATGCTTAATAGCATTTTTTGTGTGTAGTGTTGATGTCCCCTCCTTTTTTAAGGAGTTGTGGTAAAATATACATCACATAAAACTTTAACCAATCTTAAGTGTACAGATCAGTGGCATTAACACATTCACACTGTTGGTGCAACCGTCACCGCCATCCATCTGCAGGACTGTTTCATCATCCCACACTGAAACTCTTCCCCATTCAACATCTCCCCATTGCTACCATTCTCACAGAAGGCTCCTACACGATGTGTATGGGCAGAAAGCAGCTTTCTAGAGAGCCCAGCGCCACAGTCAGTCTGGTGGCCCTCCGAGCGAGCCCCGAGCCGTCCCCTCCCACCTTACCGTAGCTGAGCCATGTCTCGGCACAACTCAATGTTCGGCCGCCTTGTGCGCTCGTCCAGTCTGGTCTGAGCCACCTTCAGGAAGGCAGTCTTGTCCTTGATGGCCTTCTTGATGGATTCTATGGTCATTTCAGTCTGGAAAATCTCCTGCAGAGTCTGTGACAAAGAGAAGCAACTGCCTGAAGCTTTGGTGCGGTCCCTTCAACAACCCGCCTCCCACCTCTTGCCTGTCCACTCCATGCCCAGCACCTGCCTCGACCTCGCTGATGAGGAGGTCGCTTCACCAAGACCATCTGTCCATCCCAGCCCTGCCCCAGGGAACCCACGTGTCTCACTGGAGCTGGCATGCACCTGCTCTGGAGAGTGGGCAGTGCCTCTCTCCCCAACCCCAGGCTCAGTGACCTCATTTTGGTAGCTGGAAATCAGCCAAGGTGGGAGTATTTCAACCACAGAAATTGGCAAATACTACAAATCAAGGGCTCCCTGCATGCCACCCCCAATGGCCTTTGTTAATTACTGACCAGCACACATCTGTGTTCTGATAAAAGTGAGGCTTTGAGTGGCCCTGATCTCCCTCCTCACATCCATATGTCCATGCGTCTCTTCCCACTTTCTCTTCCTACCAACTTGAGCATTGCTTTCCTCCTCACAGAGGATTGCCCTTGCAGCGAATCAGGCTTAAGCTTCAGGGTACCTTACTTACAACAGAGGAATACTGGCAGTTTTGTATTCCTGATTTTCTATTCGTTTTCTCTTAAAGAGGCCACTCCCTCAAACTGCGTAAACATGGCTCCCTCCTTGGTTCCCCCTCCTCTTTCTCTGTAAAGAGAGTCCCTGTCCTATGCTCTGAAAAGCCTCCCTTCTCCTCACATCTCTGCACTCCCGTAACTCTACATCCTCCCCATTACTGTCCCTCTTTCTGGGTTCCCTTCCATGGCCTGGAGATACAACTAAGAATCATCTTTTTTTTTTTTTGAAACCCTATGTTTTTACCACCACTCTCCCATCCAGTCCCAACTGAGTCCTCTGCCAGATGTATTCAACCACGGCTGTGCCCACTCCCTTCACTTCCCACCCACCCAGTCTCCCAGTGGCCCCTGGATTCTGTCTCTGGCCCTAGCTGCTGTCATGAAACTTCAGTTTCAAAGCCGACATCGAGACCTCTCTGAAACCTCCCTCTCCTTGAGACCCTCATCTTGTTTTCTCTGGCCAAGTGTTGTTCCAACTCCCTCCTTTCCAACTACTCCTCATTCCCTTCCAGTGCAAGGCTTTGTCCTTGGGTGATGTCTGTGCAATATCCTTTCTACACTACAGAGACCTCATGCAATCACAGATTTAGCACTTGTGTAATCCAGGCACTCTTCCGTCTGTCACTTGAGCTTTGATCTCTCTCCCAAGATAAAAATCATTTCCCTGTTTCTGTCACTAAGGCCTTCTTCAGATACTATGTGCTCCATGAAACCATCCTGATCTCTTGCCAGTGGAAACAACTGCTCCTTCTTGTAAACTGTGTTCACATTTCATCTGTGTTTCCAAGTTCTTTCTGCACCTTTCTAATGCAACTTCCTGTTTTCTATGTGCATGTCTCGTCTCTTAAGACATGAGACATATGTACATCCCTGAGTGCCTAGCACAATACCTTGAGTGTGCCTGTTAGGGCTGAATAGTGCCTCTTCCCCCAAAATTCCTATGTTGAAGTACGAATCCCCAGTGCCCTGGAAGATGACCATATTTGGAGACAGTGTCTTTGTGGGGGTGATTAAGTTAAATGAGGTGGTTAGGGTGGCCCTAATCCAATACAACTTTGGTGTCTTTATAAGCAGAGGAAATTTGGACACAGACACACACAGAGGGAAGATGATGTGGAGACGCAGGGAGAAAGTGGCCATCTATAAGCTGATGAGGGAGGCCTCAGAGTAAATCAATCCTGCCCCGCACCTTGATCTCAAACTTCCAGCCTCCGTTAATTAATTTTCTCTCTCTCCAGTGAGAAAATTAATTTCTACTCTTTAAGCCACACAGTCTGTGGTACTTTGAGTTAGGGCAGCCCTGGCAAACTAACATAACAGTAAATAAAAATTTGTTAAAGAAGGAACTCTGTGACACCGGCCTTCTAAAAGGCCTTTAGAATGTCTTCTTACAATTCGTAGCGTCTGACCCCATTAACCTTCTCATCAATGTCTTCTACAAACTGTCTTCAACCTACTTTTCCACGTTTCTCTCCCAGGACACAAACCATCTGCACCAGCCACACACCAGTCTCTTGACAGACCTCAACTCATCCTCTGATTTGCTGTCTCCAAGGCTTTCTTCAAGATGTGGCCCCACCTGGAATGTTCACTTCTCCCTCCAAATCCCAAAAACACTTTTGTATTTGTTATTTGATAATCACGATTTGTAATATTCTATTCTATTCATATTGTTTATGAGCTTTTCATATGCAAGTATTTCTTCTCTGTAATGTAAACTTCCTAAGAACAAAAACTACATTTGATGCTTCTCTCCACCTTTCACAGCATGGAGCACACTGTCTGGCTCAATTAATATTTGTTGCCTAAAGCAGGCACCATGAGAAGGAAAGGTAAATTGTTGCAGCCTGAGAAAATGTGGTTCCCTCAACTGGGTAAAACCATCGTAGGCAACATAGCTCATGCTTGAAGGTTCTTAAAAATAAGAAACAACATTGCTTGCTTCAGCAGCATTTATACTAAAATTGGAACAATACAGAGAAGGTTGGCATGGCCCCTGAGCAAGGATGACATGCAAATTCATGAAACGTTCCCTATTTTTTTTTACTATAGGTAACATCAATACATTATATCGTTTCAAATAGCTAGAGGAAGGATATTGCATGTTTCCAACCCAAAGAAATATTCAGTGTTTGAGAGGATGGATATGCTCGCTCGTTACCCTGACCTGGTCACCATACATTAAATGTGTCAAAACATCACTGTCCATCCATGAATATGTACAATTATTTTTTGTCAATTTTTTTAAAAAGACACAACAAACTATATTCAGCATAATCCACAAAAAACAGTAAGAGCTCCAAGACTGATATTAAGGAAAGAAAGAGCTCCTCGTTTGTCTTGAAACATACAAATTCTGCTGTACTCCTTCTTTTTATAGTCATTGTAAAACTCTTATGCTTAGAGCACTTAAAATTTTTCAATATCAGAAACACTTTGAACTACCTAACAGTTTCCTGTATTTGGTTTTGTATTACAGAAAAGGGGTCTGAAATAATTTAACAGAAGACATTTCTGCCATATGTTCTAATAATAAATTCACTTCCTAGTTATATACAGTGATTCATTAAACTTTAATAATAATATTTTTGTTTCTATTAAAGACTAAGAACCTTTCATTACATAGTGCCTTCTTTGTGTTCCAAATACCAGTGGATTCCAATTTCATTTTGACACCTGGCTACCTGGCTGAAATAAATGGCATGCTTTGTGCTGTTTTAAATTTTTCTTGCTCTGTGTGGCCAAGCTGTCACATGCCTATGGTGCCTCTCTGGGAGTGGTGAGAGATTTGTGGTCCCAGAGCACACCACTCTGTCCAGGTCAGCTAAGAGGTACCACTGGTGGTTGATTTACCTTTGCTAAGTGCATCTGAATCTTATTCTTAGCATCTGCAGTCTCAGCAATGCGATTGGTGAAACACAAGTTCACTTTGTTGAATTGATTCCACATCTCATTGGCAGTCACAACCAAGAGGTTTTCAGTGTCGTCTCTTAGCTTAGCGGAAGCTGCCCGTTCACTCTGGGAGCGGAGAATATTGTCATCTGTAAATTTGGCCCAGGACTCGGGCACTGAGACACTGAAAAAGAGAAGCAGGAGCAGACAACGGTGAGAGTGATGAATCAGCCTACAGGATCGCTAGGCGACCATGTATCCTGTGAGAGAGAAACCCCCAGGTCGCTGATCCTAGCTTCATTATATAAATATCAGAGTGAGGCTTATTTTAAACTTTTCTTAATTCTTTCTTATTTTACTGCTAATCCGTTTTCTATATATCTAAAGCATAAGCTAGTTCTTCTGCCAGTTTCGGGGGCAAGAGGATTAATGAATGATGTGAATGCGTAGGTTCATTACAAATGTGTCACACATCACATCAATAAGTATATGACAAAATATTCAACCTCAAGGGTAATCAAAGAAGCATTAATGAAAACAGCCTACTAAGGAAATATTAGCACGACTAGAGAGAACGATCATTAGCAAGGCTGGAGAGCATATTTAGAAAAAGTTTCTCTCCTATCCTACAGATGAGAATGTTAAATTAGTACAACATTCCTGGAGGGTAAAAAGGTAGCACAAACCAAGAGACTGTCATTCAAATGTGGAAAGCCCAGAAATTCCACTTCTAGAAATGTATTATAAGGAAGCAATGTATCCAAGGATTTATGTGTGAGGACATTCATTTCAGCCATATTTATGTTGATCCCTGAAAAATGAGAAACAATCTAAATGCTCAAAAGTTGAAACCAAAAAGGTTGATTGTGGTACATTCAAAAAAGTAATCCATATACCAGGCAAATTCATGTTAAAGTAGAATATTTATTTTACAAACAATGTTACTGAAAAATCAGACGGGCTATATTTCAACTTTCAACTGGGTGCATTGTATGGTACGTGAATTTCACCTCAATCAAGTTAAAATTTTTAAGGGAGTGGCTGGAAGAGACCATGGATCCTGCCCAAAATTGCATCCAGGGGCCTGGCAAAGAAACCACTGATGGGGTAAGTGGAGCAAGCTGTGGTAGGAAAGGCATCGAACTATTTTCAGCCTGTATCCCACAGCATCCAGGGCATGCTATACAATGGCAACACGTGGCTTGTCTGTGTTTCTCCCTTTTTTATTTTTTTTCAGACAGAGTCTCCCTCTGTCACCCAGGCTGGAGTGCAGTGGCACAATCTCGGCTCACTGCAACCTCCCTCCCAGGTTCAAGCGATTCTCCTGCCTCAGCCTCCTGAGTAGCTGGAATTACAGGCGCCCACCACTACGCCTGGCTAACTTTTGTATTTTTAATAGAGACAGGGTTTCACCATGTTGGTCAGGCTGGTCTCCAACTCCTGACCTCAACTGATCCTCCCGCCTCAGCCTCCCAAAGTGCAGGAATTACAGGTGTGCGCCACCGTGCCCAGCCTTGTCTGTGGTTTTCTAGGACTTCTGCATCAGGTAGGGTTATTTTCATAGTTAGAAAACATAAACAACAAATAGTCCTTTACAGAAGAATTCAGGATGTGATTATCAAGGTCTGACCACAGAACGTGCTTGCTTCCTGGAGACTTGTCAAAAGCTGGGTGTGTTTCTCACCTTCCGATATCTTACCACGCTTTCCGTTTTAACCTGTAAGCTGTGTCCTTTTGAAAGGAGAAAGAGTTAAATGACATCACAATCACAGCAGTGGCGTGTGCCTGGCTTACGTTGCATCAACCCTCTCCACTCCGCGGAAGTAGCCGACACCGTCTGACGTGTTGCGCAGGTGGTGGCATTTGTCGTCAATCCGGTAAGCTGTCTGTTTGTCACTCAGGTCCTTCTCCAGCTCATGCTGGGACGCTCTGTCGGCTCTGCAACACAGAGTCGGGAAGTGGAGCTTCACGCTCAGGTGGCAATGTCCTGCAAGGACACATGAGTGCCCTTCCATATTACGACCTCTCTCGCTATTGCTCTCGCCATCTCTCCCTCTTCACACAATGTTCAATTTCTCAGTCAAAACGAGCACTCTTTGGATCTGGCCATACATCTACGTCACTGCGACCCTAACTCCCACCATGTCTACACTTCTCCTTTCATAGGGTGGGATGGAAGTGGGGAGAGCAGGTGAAGATAAACAGGGGTCCGGGATCTGCAGCCCCAGCTGGGGCCCATCTTCCTAACACACACACAGTCTTCCAGACAGGACACAGGTTCAAAGTAATCTGTCCACATCTGTGCCTTCCATTCCTTCCTTTTCCTTTTCCTTTTTCTCCTCTACATCTCGGCTCCCTTTTTCTCTGTTATTTGAATATAAACCCCCAAGAAATCATGAGGCCTTTATAGCCAAGCCTCCTGCCATTCATTGGTAACCTTGGTTTGTGGTCATGCTACGGCTCAGAGGTTTGCCAGGAGATAAAAACCAAGAGTCAAAATTAACCTCTAGGACAGGAGTGAGAGAGGACTTCAACAGAAATCAGGAATTGATGGTCCCCCCAGGCTCACACACTCCAGCAGCCACCCTGCTGGAAGGAAGAGGCCTCGGTGAGCTCTGAGATGCATGGTCTTGCCTGCACTGCCAGACAGACGGGGGACCCACAGCTTATTACCACACACAGACCCTGGGGGCAGGCATGGGTGACAGGTGAGCCACATGGAATACATCGTTCGACAAATAATTATTGAGTGCCTCCTATATGGCAGACACCATTCTGCGAGCCTGGGATGCATCAGGGGACAACACCAACATCGCTTCTCTAAGGAGCCAACATGCTTCTGGGAGGAGACAGCACATTCAGTGAATGGGCAATTTGTGTGGTTTGAAGAACAATGCTAAAAAGCAAAGCAGGAAAAAAGAGACCAGGACTGTGGTTATGATTTTAAAGAAGATGGCCAGAATAGGTCTCACCAGGTGACATTGAGCAAAGACATAAAAAAGGGGGAATCAGATCATGCAGGGCCCTAATGGACATGGGAATGAGTCACGTTTTCCTTCGAGTAAAATTAGAGGCCATTGACTTACGATTTAAAAGGACCTCATTCTGATGCAGGCTGAGAACAGACTGCCGGGGGCAGGAAGACCATTAGGGGGCCACTGCAGTTACTCAGGTGAGAGATGAAGGTAGCTTGGACCAAGAGGATGAAAGTGAAGGAAGCAAGAAGAAGTATTCAGGTTCTGGATATGGTTTGAAGATAGAACCAAGACAATATCCTATTAAATTGAACATCAGTGAGAAAAAAACAAAAAAGAGCTTGAGTCGTTGGAATAATGGAATTCCATCAACTAAGGAGGCGGGGTGGCTGGGGAGGGAGAAGCTAGGGGAGAAGATGGAAGTTCAGTTGACATAGTAAACTTGAGTGTTCACTGAACATCTACATGGGAGACGTGAAGGAGGTTGTTGGAATTTGAAAGAGACGTCTAGGCTAGAGATAAAAAGTGGGGAGCCACTGGCAGATAACTAGTATTTGAAAAAGTAGGATAGCTGAATGAGCTTGGGAATTTCTCTGTTTTCTCAGCACCTAAAAACGGTTTTGGTAGAGCAAAGCCATTCACTCAGTAAAGGCTGCATTGAATGGAATGAGTCAATTCTAGCTGCAGGTTCCCCTCAACTTAGCCTGTGCTTTCAAGCAAATCGCTTGACCTCCCAAAGCTGTTTTTCTTATTTGTAAAGTGGAAATGAGAGTAGCAGCATGCAAATGATCTGCACTTTGTGAATTCTAAGACAGTATACAAGGGCGAAGGATGAAAAATGAAAAAGCTCCCTTCCCTTGCTACTTCTGTGCTGAGGCTCTTGCCTTAGGTGATCATGTTGAAATTCCAGGACTAGAAGGCCTTTCTCCTTTGGTCTGGGACCAAGATGTCCCACAAGTTTCCTGTCTTAAGCTGAGACCCTGTTAGGGAAGGGGCTGAAACGTTCATGAAGCATCTGTTGTTACAGTTCACCTCTTGGGAGGTGGGACTTGGGGAGGTGGAATAGAGACTTTACAGCCTTTTACTCCCCGTCACCTCAAGTGAAAATCCCTGCTCCTGCACACTCCCAGGTCTTGGCTGGAACAGTGTTGAAAACATATGTCTTGAGAGTGTG